TACGCTTCGCTTTGACGGTTTCCAAAACTCTTCTAGCCGTGCTCTTTGTATAATTTTAGTCCACTCCGTTTTCCTTTTTTCATCAGCAGGGAAACTAAAATTTATCAAATATCTATAATATTATAACAATATGGAATTAATTGCAAAAATAAACAGTATTCTCGCGAGGAAATGCGTATATTATTATTTTGTTGAAAAAGTTCACTTTAAGCGATTTTAAAAAAATAATAATACTAAATACCTTATCAAGATACTATCTACACATATATGTGTGTGTATGTAGACAGTATAATATATATATATATATACACTGTCTTTATCTATATATCTATTGTCTACATATATAAACTTATATTAAAGCTCAGTTAGATATTAGAATTACCAACGCTAGTAATAAAATATTAACGCCAACATAACAAAGTAGTTAAATTATTTCTAGTAAATTATATTAATACTGTTTAATATCACAACTATATGGCCTTTAATAATTAAAAGTAGGGAAAAACAAAACTGTTATACTGGCAACACTTACAAGATTGACGCATCATTCTCTAATACAATTACGAACAAAATAAATAATTCAATTCATAAATAAAACGTTATCTGAATGAGCTACTTACACATGAAATGTGATCCCATCCTTTTTCTTCTGGAGCCCAACAACATTTTTACAGGTAGGAATGGCACAAGACGGCATAATTTAATTAAATTTCACACTTGCAAAACACGTCACACCATACGACGTTCACAGAGTGACTATTCGCCTGAACGTGAAAGTACACCATTTTGGAGTAGTTTTCGTTGCCTCAGTTTTAAGCGCGTTTGCGGCTTCTGGTTCTTTCTGTATTCTGAGATACAGGCATTGTCTATCCGCTCTGTGATAGCGCTTGCCTAATTTATGTACGTCTAATTACTTAAGTAATAATAACGTTATTCACCACACATACTATAAAATGCATTGTCTATCCGCTCTGTAATAGCGCTTGCCTAATTTATGTACATTTAATTACTTAAGTAATAATAATGTTATTCACCACATGTATTGTAAAATGCATTATTTATCCGCTGTGTGATAGCGCTTGCCATGCGTGTAATCCAGGCGTTCAAAGTATTTAAATATTTATTTGCTCTCTAACTATACAATAAGTAACTTTGTGTAATTAGGTATAACATACCTGTACTTAAATCTGGCTCTTGTGTAACTGAGGCATTTGATGGTCCAGCCTCCGGTTCTATTTGTGTCATTGATATCGGTGGAGTCACCGCATCTGGTGTCATCATTTGTTCTCTCAAGATGGAGCATTCGGAAGCCGAATCCTCGTGGCTATTACTCCGAGATAAGTTTTTTAGTTTCTTCTCCAATTTTCGTATTTTCTTCTTAATATAATCTTCATCTTTCTCTCTGCTGTTCGTTTTTCTTTTCCCTATTTTAATTTTAACTTTTTAGTAACAAGCAATCCCCGAACCAAATAAAATGTACACTACGCGAACGGTGAACCCAAGCGACGCAAACCCAAACGTAATAAAATGTGAAGAAAAAAAAAATAACGGTAAGAAAGCGGAAACGGATAATATGTTATCCCACAATAATGTCACAGAAGAGGAACGCTAATGACTAATAAATAATGACTATCGAAGTATCATACTTCCGTTAAAATTTAATTTAGTTCAAAAAAGAAAAAAATATATCATAATATACTTAGTTTTAATCTAATTGTAATATAAAAATACACATACCTTTAAGATTTCAGTGATAGTCAACCACTATTTACGACATAACAAACCATTTTTCCATGCTTGAAAACATCACTAATTGTATCTGACAACCGGCTCGATAATTTACGTAAAACATTATGAGCACAAGTTACATTTACTTCTGCGCTAATAATAAAATGAGTATTGTTGATGTTTAGTATACCAACAATTAATAAAAAACATTTTACGAGAGAAATCAACTTGACCTCGCTGTGCACAAAAACGTAATGACATTCAGCGGCAGTGTTGCCATTCCAGAGACGTTTTGTTTTTGTTTTTTTTATAGCTTAGGACTTATGTGACCTGCGCTGTAAACAATCAGCGTTACTACTTGTTAATATCGTCTCGGACTAGCAGTGGAGTATAATTAGCTTCAGGGCTTCCCTCTACGGCATCAGGAATGTGTCATTAACCATGGCCTTTGTGGATATCCAGAATCACCTGGACCAATTATGAAAATGTATTATTTATATTATAAAAAGGAAGATATTCATTATAAAAAGTATTAAAAATAATTACAAAAATTAAATTGGAAAACTGAAAAGGACATTTAATTAACCTGTAAAAAGTATTTTTTGTAGCTAACATAATAACACAACTTATCAAGTAGCCATACTTGTTCATTGTTTTGATGTAATTCTTGCATATACTGATTTACTAGGCTATTATCCCAAATAAAAGCATCATGGGCGGCACCTCCACATTTTGCATTCACATTTAAAATGCGGCATTCACTGTCACAAAGCTACAAATAATATTTTTTTGTTAGTTAACCGCTCGATTGCTTGCGAACAAAAAAATGGTAGCTTACTTTGCCAGTAGGTCGGGACTGTGTTTCTCACGTTCGACCCGCCGTCAATAAAACTTAATTTATGACTTACTCGAGAGGAGCACTTCAAATTTCTAAAATTTTATGAATAGCCATTGAAATAACAAGTACAAGCCATTTTAGCGTCTCTTTGTAAAACATCGGGTTTATCAAAAAAATAAGATCGATAAGTGTATGATTATTTACTATATCTTTAAACGTAATGAATTACTTGATATATTTATCTATATTATAAAACGAGTTATATTTGAAAACATAGTAAAAATATTTAGTGAAACCTGATGAAGAATTCACGGATTGCACAATCGATCGCCATTTGTTAGTTACAATCTAGGCTGTTATTACATAAAAACGTATATTATAATATGATGAACAATTTATAAAACTTTATTACTTAAATTGAATAATTATATTCAAATACTACTACGACTATTTCGTATTTAAAGAATACAACGTAATTACGATAATGTAAGCTATAGAAATTTATGTTTAGATTCGCGTCATTCTGAGTATTTTTAAAAGTCGACTTTATCACATTTTTCATACAGTTTTTGCAAAAATATTACTATAATACAAGAAAACACTATAACTATATATAAGACATTAATTTGATATATAAATACTAGCAAAAATCAATAAAATTCAATACTCACGGCATATTTTATCACCTCGATAAATCCACTCAAGCGTCACTTCACTCACCAAACTTTAACTAACAAAGTTTCGATATTTTTCGTCCAAGAGGTTGGTAATTTTGTTTCAAATCTATGATTTATATCTTTGTTTTTGGTTTTAATACGTAATAATTAGACTCTGTGCGTTTAAAATACGGTCTAAATTCAATTAAAAGAACTTCGTCGCTTTGCAACCACAGTTGCAAAGAGCAAAGTTAAGGATTCTGTTTTTGCAACTGTGCAAGAAGCAAACGAGCGGTTAACAAATAATAACATAAAATATCTAATTACTTAATTAAATACTTAGTTCAAAATTCGTCACCATAATCATTATCATTACAGCCTATTAATGTCATAGTTATGGTACGAGTATACCTAGTTGCCCGCAAATGCATTGGCAACCGCAGTTTTTTCATTTATTAATTATTATGAAAGTGCTGCTACCCAACTCCTTCCCCCTGTTGCCTCTTACGACTAGAGAAACGGAAGATACGGGGTAGTGGATATTCCTATACCGCCACTACACATTAGATTACAAGCTACATGGAGTACCTACAAATTAAACTTACAACTTGTACATTAAGGGAATGAAAATGCTTTCTGCAATAAAACAAGTGTTCAATTTCTTTTTATGGTGTAAATATGCGGAAATATGATCCATCTATGCAGCCAATGACACCCGGTATCTTATATGTAGTCAAAAATCTGTGAAAAGTAATTATTTTTTTAATTTAATTCGACTAGAGAATTTAACAAAGTTAAAAACGAAACATTTTAAGTTTGTAAGTGCTTTTGCTTAATGACGTCTCTCTCAGCCCTGGAAGTGGGGAACTTGATAAAATTGTTACATATTATTTGGCTGTTAAGTGCCTCCGTGACTTCAGAAACACATTTGCTAACACTTGTTTGACCTAAGTGTTTACCCATACCAACTAAACGTTGATAAGAGCCCGTTGCGTAAAATGATAAAGCACATAAAACGTAAAACATAAATGAAATAAACTTTGAGCATTGTATTATACCTTAGCTCTAAACTTATTATTTCACTATCTCTCAAGTTTGTTTTAGAGCGAAGTTCATGGCAAAGGTATTTAAATACGTTTATATCTTTTTTTAAATTCCAATTCAGAAATATCCATAGGGTCTTCAGTTCGTCGAAGAAAAACGCGTTGAGTAACACCACTGGAATTATTTTATATTTAATTTAAACAGCTATAAAAATGTTACTAATACATTAAATAATTAAGTTAAGGTAATTATATGTACCTTAATTTTCGTCTTTGCTTTCTTGCCTCGACTGTCAAACGCCACGCGAAATAATAAAAAGCCGTGGATCTCATTCTATTTGTTCTTAATAAAAACATTTTAAACTAAAATCAACGAAAGACCCAGAGAAACTTAAAACTAAGACTTCACGGTAGCGTTCTCACCGTAAAAATGTCGGTGAGAATGATTTCGTAGTTCTCTACACAGTTTAGACGATAACGTTTATCAAAAAAATATTCGTGCTACCGATTTCCATACATTTTGTGTCTTACTATGGCGTAAAATGTACGATAGCAATGCATAACGCAGCGTTTGATATTCGTGTAAGCAGTATTTTAATCAAATTTATGAAAATTAAACATTTAAAGTTAATCACATATATCTAAAATAAAGGAATCTTCTGAAACATTTGTCATATTTGATGGTGGTGTGCTAAACGGTGCACTAGATAAAGACTCAGTGTTGTATTCCATCATTCATAGGGTTTCTCCGCGAACAGTAGAATATCCGGGGTGATAACTTCGAGATGGCGGCGGTTCTGTTTGTTGTGACCAATAGCTTTGACAGTATAATGCACTATCATCAATGTTGGGCATAGAGCGGGCAGCTTCTTCAAGAATTGTCATTATTTTTATTCTGGTTGCCATTTTTTGCAGGAGGCAATTTTTTAACGTGCTTACTAAAGACAGCATGAATAACCTATCTTCATCTTGACTTCCAAGCTCATATTGTTCTCTACTTTTGATGGATTCGTTAAGGGCTTCTAAAAATTTGTCATCTTCAGGTGTGGTCTTCTGTTTTGTTTTCATTCTTTTCGGACAACTTCCCACTTGTCTATCTTCTTGCATGTCTTTTTCAGGATCAGGATCTGTAGCTTTGGACTCTTTTGATGCCACAACTTCAGGCTTTCTTAACGCAACAACCTTCTGTAGAAACAGAAGTTGTTTAAAAAATATATATTCGCTTTTATGTGGTCCACGGCCAGACCCGGACTTCAAAGATTTTTTTAGGTTCAGTTCTCGTGTGACACGGATGTGCAACCACGGATACTTTTCCATCTTTTTTGCAAATTATCAGCTGAAAATAGTAAATAAGTTTAGTATACGCGTTTATCAATAAATTAATCAAGAAAAACCCTTATAGATAACGATGTTATCTTTTCTTCTAGGTATTTTGCGTCAGGACGTTCACTCATGGAACTTTACTACAACTACAGACTCGGTCGTACAACAGTTTGTACAATAATTACAGAAGTGTGTAGCGCTATATGCCAATATTAAGAACAATTCATAGATCTTCCAAAGACAGAAGTTGATTGGGAAAAGGTTTTAAAACAATCGCGAACTTCCCCCATTGTATCGGCGCCATTGACGGGAAACACATGAAATAACCAATTAATAAAGATATTTTCAATCTTATTTATATACTTAGTTTTATACACTAATCTCATTAACCAATTTCTACATGTTCCTGCGGCAAACCCATTGACAGAAAACGGTGACAATATTCCATACGTAATAATAGGAGGGAGATGAAGCTTTTGCGTTACACGAAAACCTCGTGAGACCATACGGAGGACACAATCTTAGTTACAAGCAAAAAATATTCAGCTACCGATTATAAAGAGCACGTCGATATATCGAATGTACATTTGGCATTTTATCTAAAAAGTGGCGGATTTTTCACAGGCCAATGAATGTACATATAGATTTGGCAAAAGCGATTGTAAGGACATGTTGCATATTGCACCACTTTGTACGTTCCAGAGATAACTATTCTTACGACGATACTCCGACGGTGACAAGATTTGAACCAGCTACAAGTCGAAATCGCTATAGAAAACTAGCAGTTTATTTTGTAACTGATGATCCATTACCATGGCAAGACAAGTATATATAAATAAACAAAAGTTAATAAAAGTATACTCACTTGTTGTTTTTTTTCTTGGTTTTTCATTTCGTCTTTTTCTTTAAATATGTTTACTATTTCGCCCCAACCTTTAATTTTTAAGTTACGATCGGAATAATCATTTGATGAACTATCCCATAAACAAGGACGGTTTTGAATTTCTATAATAAATTTTACAGTATCGAAATTCATTTTTTTCGCATCAAATACAAATAACTATTTGAGGCTAGACTAAAATGGCGGCTGACTAGCGACTGAGTGAGGGAGGTGCAGTTTAAACGTGTATATTATAGTGGCAACGTCGCCAGGTTTATTGGTTTATTTTTTACGTATTGCCTCATTATGTTATGCCCCTTGAACTTGATCATGTGTTCGTCTATTGCCTGGGTTTTGGTGTTAGCCATAGCTCTTTGAAAAGCATGGTTGAAATGATCTATAACAGGTCGTATTTTGAATGCTCTATCATAAGACGGATCGGTTCTATTAGGTTCATTAGAATTGTCACTAAAATGCAAGTTCCTACGTATTTCTTCAAAGCGGTTTATAGGCATCACATTAGCAATGTAAGGAACTCCCATGTCAGGATCTGTAGACCAATAGCTCCTGAATGTAGGTAAACAATGATTCCCCATCACAAAGTTCATGCCGAAGAAAGCTTTGGCTTCTTCATCAGTCAACGTAAAAGATCTTCCATTTTGATGAGCGTAGCGTATGGATTCACGAACAATAATCTCCTCTACAAATTTTTCGAAGCCTGTAGCCGCATTGAAAATTTTTACAGGAGTCAGTTCCGTATCAGAAGTTTGATCAAAAATGTGCACCTCGCCGAAGTTATACCCTTCCATTTCACAAAAATTATGCGGAGAATATGAATTTTTTCGCCAGTTGAAATAAGGGACATTAGAACTAGGCTGTTGATTTTCAATAATATTCTCTTCTGGAGATGCTGACCCCGGTTCAATTTCAACAGTTAAAATACCCGTGTCTATATCTTGCTCTAAAAAAGTTTGATCCTCTTCATCAAGGACTAAACCCTCCTCATCATCGCTGTAGTCAGCCATCAGGAATTCTGTAATTTCGTCTTGCCGCAATGAAAACTCTCTACCTCGATTGGAAGACATGGTCTGTAACCAAATAGAATATACAAAATAAGAATAATAAACAAAACAAAACAGTATAGCAAAAAATATTACCCGCTTGAAGCCAGCCTCCCTTGATGCATATAGGGATACCCGCATCCCTTTACATTTTTTACATAGTAGGGGAGACTGGGGCTGGTCGTGACATTTTTTTTATAAAGTGTCGTAATTTTTTGTTTGTTTGATTGTTTTACCGGAATGTAGGTTTGTTTGATTAAGTAACTATTCGGGTTATTAATTTAAAAACAATTTTAGGTATCAGACTATTAGAAGTGACATAAATGAATGAATTCTAGGAAAAGAGGCGTGTAACTTTCAGCCCCGCGCCAGGGGCTGGTTGTTACACTATAAGAGGCAAAATATTACAACAAAAACCAAACGTAATATAACACTTTTTATTAAGAACAATGACAGTTTACTACAATTATTATGTCTACAATGTCAAAATACAATATCTATATAGCAGTCTTTTGCCTCATTATAACAAAAACAGTAACTTCGTTGAACAAAATTATAATCTTATCTTTTAGTCTTCAACGTTCAACAAAACGACTCATAAAAATAAAATTTAGGTAACTTCCAACCCGGTAGAAAATTATAAATTTCTTTATCAAACAAAAACTTAGTATGAATTAACAAAACATTTATTATGCCTCATCTTATGAACAAAAAATAAATAAAGTCTCTCTCTAGAAAAACAATCAGATCCTAAAAGCTAAAAAACAGTTCAGTCACTTTAGTCTGAACAATCACTTTCACAATTCAAACATATGTAGGATATAACATTACCCTTAGCACATCTTACGTGTGACCATTTCTTACAAACAACACACTGTACCCATTCCTCACCAGCTCGACTTTGATCAAACGGTTCACAACATATCAGGCAAAAATAATCATCTACCCTTCCTTCGTCAGACTCAGAGTCATGTAAGACCTTCCTTTTCACAGCAATCTTCCTTGTTTCCTTAGGCGTTTTTTCTCTCTTCATCTTTCCTGGCTCAGTTGACTTCCCTTTCTTAGTTACCTTTCTATTTTTTGATGTAATTTCCTTTTTCTTGCTCTGTTCTTGTGCCAATACATTTTTTCCGGTGTATCCGTTAAAATAGCTGATTTGCGAGTTTTTCGTGTTACTTTATTTGTTCTTGCAGCAGCTTTTGGATAAGGCCGAATGGTATCGGGAGAAAAAGTCGTACATTCATTGTGAAACAGATCTCTGCTACAACCAGCAACTGAACCATAAAGGGAGCTTTCGCATTCTTCTGCAGCATCTACTACTTCAGTGGCCTCTTCAATAAATCCAGGTATAGGAGGTATAGTATTATCTTTGGAGGAATGTGGAGGAGTTGGAGATAGAGTCCCAGGGAAATTAATTGGAGTAATCTCTGTTATAACAGGCGTGTTTTCAAGATTTGAGTTAGCAGTTTCGTCTATTGGTCTGTCAGTAACAAAAGCAGACAAGAAATCATCTTCCTGAAAAATATCTTTATTAAATGGTGCAATACCAGTCTTTTGAAATCCGTTGATGATGTTAGCCGGATTTAGCGCTAAGGGCAAAGCTTTACTCACTATAGATGGAATATTGTGAATAGTCATTGTCTTACCCGGATTGTTTCTAAGCCAAGCATCTTGCTGGCTGGCACAGAAATTTTTAAATGGTCCATAGACCCCCACATCCATGGGCTGGTGTTTATGAGAGCAATGTGGTGGGAAGGACAGCAATACCATAAAATGAAATGCGTATTTTTTTAATAAGGCGGGCGCTGAATGTCGTCATAATTAAATTATGTTTATTATGTTGATTACTATATCGCTTCACTACGATATCTAACCTTACGGAAAACTCAACGATCAAACAGATCATACTCATTGAATAAAACTATTATTTACGGATTTTATCGCCATGAGTCAAGATATTTCGTCCTTGTTACGTCGTAGTTCAGTGCCGAAACCAAACCTTCCCAAAGACGAATTTACAGCGCTAAATAACTTACGGAACAGACCAGAACTCACGATTCTCCGCGCGGATAAAGGAAATGCTACGGTAGTAATGGACGCGTCGGAATATAATTTTAAAATACAACAACTTTTATCGGACGAAAGTACATATAAAAAGGTCAAAACAGACCCTACAACTAACACGCTTAAAACAACTAGCGATTTCATAAAGAAATACTCCGAAAAATTAAATCTTGACGTGAATTCGCTAATACCATCATGTGCCAAACCACCGAGGTTGTATGATTTACCGAAGATACACAAACCAAACGCTCAACTACGTCCCATAGTGTGCCAGATCGATTCACCAACTTACAAGCTGGCACAATACTTAGCAAAAATACTATCACCACTGAGAGGACATATCAGAGCATACACAAAGGATTTGTACCATTTTGTGAGTGAGATAAAAGACCTACATCTCGCTAACAATGAAACTATGGTCAGTTTTGATTTTCAGTCACTATTTACATGCCTACCTATTGTGGACTGCATCTCAATTGTAACTAGGAAGCTAGAAGAAAATAACATGCCTCAAGAATATGCAATACTACTTGAACATTGCCTCCCATCTGGCTATCTATTGTGGAAGGAGGAGTTCTACAAGCAAGTAGATGGTGTGGCGATGGGCTCACCTGTGTCTCCCATAGTCGTCGACATATTCATGGAGGACTTTGAGGAGAAAGCCCTTCTTACTGCTCCTGTAAATCCAAGGTTCTACAAGCGGTACGTAGACGACACTTTCACAATTTTACCATCTGACAAAGTAACTGCATTTTTAGACCACTTTAACTCCATAAACTCTAAAATACAATTCACAATGGAGTTAGAGGCAAATAATTCTTTAGCCTTCCTAGATGTTTTAGTCATCCGAAATCCTGATAACACTATTGGTCACACTGTGTATAGGAAAAAGACCCATACCAACCGATATCTAAATGGTGAATCTCACCATCATCCTTCACAGTTAGCTACCGTGGGTAAATCTTTGTTTCAGAGAGCACGAGGGATCTGTGACAAAAAACATCTGGCCGCGGAGCTTCAGCACGTCAAGCAAGTATTGCAAGACAACAAGCTTCGGGTCCCGCGCCTTGTCGTGAAGCGACAGTTAAAAACTAAAGAACCTAACCTAACAACGAAACAACCAAAAAGAAAATAATTTATTTAAAATTTGTAAAGATATTTACAGTTTCTTTTATAAAATGTAAAGCCACAATTAAAAACTATAGAACCTAACCTAACAACGAAACAACCAAAAAGAAAATAATTTATTTAAAATTTGTAAAGATATTTACAGCTTTTTTTATATAAAAAAAAGGTATGAGGGTGATGATGGGCTGTAGTGATGATAGTGAATTACAATTTTTAAAAAAAAAAAAAAAAGTTAATAAAGATAAATGAGTACGGAAACAATGTATGTACAGGCTATGCCTGTGGTAGATGCATAGCGCCTAATCTAAGTACACGCAGCGCTTGAAGTAGGCACACACAGCGACCAGAATGAGCACACACAACACCCGGAGTAGACACACACAGCGCCTGGAGTAGACACGCAGCGTCTGGAGTAGGTCCACGCAGCGTCTGGAGTAGGTACACACAGCGTATTGAGCAGGTACACGCAGCACTTAAAGTAGGCACACACACACCGCTCGGAGTAAGCACACACAACGCGCGGAGTAGACACAAACAGCGCCCGGAGCGCCGGAGACACGCAGCGTCTGGAGTGGGAACACGCAGCGCTTGAGACAAGCACGCACAGCGGCCGAAGATAGCGCGGGCACTAGTAGGTGGAGGCGTAGGCGTGGCTAGGCGACGACTTCAGGAGAAGGCAGAGGCTTGCAAGATCCCGAGGCAGTGCGGATAAAGCCTTTAAGAGGTGCTTCTCGTATCAAAGCTGAAGTGAGAACCTCTATTGGCCGATTCTTCGGCTTTTATACTTTTTGACGGATCTGGGATAAGAACGAGAAATTATTTGAAATTATTTAAATTAAAAGCAAATTTTTTGTAAATGGCCAAGAAGAAAAGAGTATTTTTGAAGTAAAAACATCAGGCCGGTAACGATATTTGAATAAAAATTGCCATGACAACCAGATAAACAACGATGTCAAAACATGTCAAATTTTGGTTTTAGGCTCGTAATAGAGAAACGGCAAGATTAAAGTGGAAAAATGAGATATTATTGATATAGGAAAAAAGGTAGCGCAACAGTGCGCACGAAGCCCGAAATTGCAGAGTTACGGAGAACTAAATAAAAGATCGAAAAAGGTAGACTCCATTGACACCGATTTAAAAAGTGCTGATAACGTGAAAATACGACGTGAAAATGATTTGTTATTGTGTTCTTATGGTTTAAAAATGTTACAGGTACCTATGGAAATAAAGGTGATGCAAAATATCCAGTTTTGAGATGAATGCAGAAAATCAAAAACAGAATCTAAAAATAAATTTAAAATAGTGTAAAATGGTATGTAAGTAGCATAACACTACATTTTCCCCCCGACCCTGGAAAATTTTTGACTCAGCAAAAATTTTGACATGTACATTCTAAAATAAACCATAAAAACACAGCTTTGCAGTAACAGACATCACCAGGCAAAATCAGATATACCATCTCTTACATTCATCATCTGCATTCAGGTAAGGGTGGAGTTCACATTCAATGACTACCACTCTAAAAGTGTGTTTTCGAAAGGACATTCAGGCTTATTTAAGGAGTTGTCATCCGCTCCTGCGTGGAAAAAAAAAACATTTTGAAAGGACATCCAGGCTTATTTAAGGAGTTGTCATCCGCTCCTAAGTGAAGATAAAGTTAGAGAAATTAATCTTAAGCAAGCTTTAGTCGCTAGGACTTAAGTAAAGATTAAGAACGGCCAGAGCGGTAGGGCTCAAAGCCAGAGATCAGCAACATCACTAACGAGATGTGTCTGAAATAAAAATAAAAAGTGAAGATTAACCAACGAAAGTTCGAGGTCCTAAAGCAAGATGTGTTGAAGAACACTGGATCACCAAACAAATAAAAATAATAAGGTGAGAATGATGGTGATATTTATACATATATACAAATTAACAGTTAATAAAAGTTAAAAAAATTTATGATTTTACATCTTTGATGTGCCACTTGCCTCTAACTCCATTAGGGTCTTCAAGCACATAGACTAGTGGTGACAGTTTAGCTATCACTTTGCACTTGATGAACTTAGGGGCAAGTTTAGCATTAAAGTATGCGCCGGCATTGCTTAAAACATGGTTTTTACGCCAAACAGTGTCTCCCACATTAAATTCTTTAAAAGACCGGCGAAGATCATAGCGAGCGCTATTTTTAGCGTGAGCTATGTGAAGTTTAGTTTGAACTTTGTGAAAAATAGATGAGAGGAGACCAGCATTAGACGCGTAAATATCACGAGGCATAAATATCAATTCCTCGAGGTTCTGAGTTGGAGTATAGAAGGAACCACAAGGTATTGTTTCCCTACCAAAGACTAAAAAGTTTGGAGTAAAGCCAGTAGCTACATTTGTAGCGCTGTTCATTGCGTACTGAATCTTAGCAAGATGGTTGTACCAGGATCTATGATCGTCTCCTACTAGAGATGCTAGAGCTGTAATAATTGTACTATTAAACTTCTCCGTAGGATTAACCTGAGGACAATATAAAGCTGTGTGAAAAATACAAGGAACGTTATAAGAATTTAAGAATGATTGGAATTCTCGCGACTGAAATTGAACCGCGTTGTCCATTATAATAGTTTGGGGAATGGCATGAACTAGGAAAACTGAATTTTCCAAAAGATTAATAATATTAGCTGAAGTAGCACGTTTAAGGGGAAAAATCATAGTATATTTAGTAAAATTGCAGTTAATTACTAGAATATACTGATTTCGTCTACGAGTCATAGGTAATGGACCCATAAGATCTAAGGATATAGTTTGAAAAGGTCTGGAGCAAAGTTTGGGTTTACCCATAAGACCACAGGGAGAATGATTAGGGTGTTTGTAGGTTAAGCAGGTTTCACAAGACGAGATTAATTTGGCAATGTCCTTAAACATACCAGGCCAATAGTATTTTAAAGATATTTTCTTGAATGTCTTGAAGATACCAAGATGGAGTTCTGAAGGGGAACCATGGTTAACTTCAATAAGTGCATGTCTATCTTGAGGTAGTGGAACTTCTTTCCAAATAAAGTCATCGTTTAGACGATCGAGAGAATGGATGCAGCGGTAAAGTTTGTTATCCTTGATAGTGTAGTTGGGATATGCGTCTGGGTTGTTAGAGCATCCGAGAAAAATCTTGTTGTAGTGCTCAAGTTCACGATCAGGTGGTTCTTCAATCGTAATAGGATGTACGCCTTGAGGTGAAGTTTCTCGTGTATCAGGACGTTCTTGATTCTTATGTCTTGATAATAAATCTGGAACAACGTTATCCTTTCCTTTTTTATGTTTCAGGACAAAGTTAAAGCATGATAAGCGTAAAGTCCAGCGAGCAAGTCTTCCTGATGGATTCGATAAGTTCTGAAACCATTTAAGTGCAGCATGGTCAGTATATATTGTAAATTCTTTACCATTGTCTAGGTAACATCGCCAATGTTCTAACGCAGTTATTACAGCCAATGTTTCTCTTTCAGTAGTTGAGTAG